AGCCATTCACACACTTTCACATACGGATGATAACTTGTGAGAAAACACATTCTAAAATCACCCATTAAACTTAGCTTCATCATTTTGAAATCAATAAATTATTTTACAAAAACATGAAATCCCTGAATGAAAACTAGCTTAATTCTTACCAGCATCTCCAATGAAAGAAGAAATCGGAAAGTTTTCGAACAACTTTGGTTCCATGCAATCGGCTCCCTTTACGATTTCCTATTCCCAGTTTTCCTAAAAATTTCATATACATGATTAAGAATTTAATTTAAAAGAATAACCGAATGTAAGGTGGAGAAAAATTTATCAAAATCGATAACGAATTTGGACTTCCGACCTAAAAGAGTGTGGTTCGGTCTCCCTCTCCGGTTTCCTAATTTTTGGCCTCGCATAGATCTTTGAACGGATCTGGAACGTCGCACTATGGTCTGCCTCACGCGAATCAGGTCCACCAAACATGCACTTTGTTTCTTCTTCTTCAGCAGCATGCGCCTCGCGCTCGGCATCGTGCACAGCTCTTCTCTCCTGGCCGTGTGCATTCTGCATCTAGCCTTACACACTACGCGTAACTCTTCTTCCGACTGCGCACCATTCCTCCTTCCTCCTCCTCTTCCTCCTCCTTCTTCTCCTTCTTCTTATTCTTCTTATTCTTCTTCTTCTTTGGTGGCAATGTGCATCGTGCGTCTAACATCACGCATAACTCCTCTTTTCTGGCCGTGCACCGTACACCATGCTTCTTTCTTTCTCCTTCTTCTCCTCAACATTTTTCTTCTTCTCCTCCTCCTCCACTGCCCCTGTCCCACTTTCTGTTAGGGTTTCTTTTTCTCTTTTTTTTTATTCTTTATTTCTTTATTGTTTATTTATTTTTTATTTCCTGGCCTAGACCTCAGCTTTCTTTTCTCCCTTAGGCCTGGTTATTACAGTTAGCACTAGACACAAAATCAAACCTACTTGGATGAAAGATTTCATTTATCATTTTATCGTCACAAATAATATACCAACTGCATTACATAAGTAGCCTCCAAGTTCGATGGTCAGAGATTACACACCTCCAACTTATCCATATCAAGTTCCTTCTAATTTTTCATCTTCATGTATAGTTTTTTTTGTAAATATTATTTATATTGCAAAACCATATTCCTATAAACAAGCTATTAAACACAAAGAGTGGGTTACTGCTATGCAAAAGGAGATTGATGCTCCAGAAGTAAATGATACTTGGGAACTCACAACTTTGCTGGCAGACAAACATGTTATTGGCACAAAGTGGGTTTATAAAGCTAAGTTTCTTCTAGATGGAACAATAGAACAATTCAAGGCTCGATTAGTAGCCCAAGGATACAATCAACAAAGGATGTTGATTATTTTGAAAGCTTCTCTCTAGCAGCTAAAACAGTCACATCTTCTTAGCTTTTGCTACTGCTTAAAATTTATTCCTCCACCAATTGGATATCAATAATGTGTTCCTTCATGAAATACTTAATGAAGAAGTTTATCTCAAACCTCCTCCTAGTTACACTAAAACTTCTCCTTCACAAGTTTGCAAGCTTAAAAAGTCCTTATATGGACTAAACAAGCTTCACGATAGTGGAACACTATTTTTGCTAAGAAACTCTTACAATTTGACTTTCTTGAATCAGAACATGGCCATTGTTTGTTTATCAAGCAATCTCCTGGTACCTTCTTGGCTTTACTCATTTACGTTGATGATGTGCCTATCACTAGTAATTCTAAATCTGTTATTTCAGACACAAAATAATTCTTACATGCTACTTTTGCTATAAAAGATCTTAGTGAAGCAAAATATTTTTTTGGTCTCGAATTAGCATGATCTGATGAAGGCATGTACATCACGCAACGAAAGAATGTTTTAATATTCTTGTAGACACTGATTTAATTGGATCTAAACTACCTCTCACCCCTCTATCAAAGAACTTCACATTTTACATTGAGTCAGAGTCATTTCCTTATCCTAAGAAGTATTGTCGACTCATTGGTAGACTCTTGTACTTGAATTTCACAAGGTTGGATATCAGTTATGCAGTTAATTAGCTTAATAGATTCACAGAATCACCAACACATATTCAATGGGATGCAACTCTTCATGTTTGTCGATATCTTAAGGGTATTCATTCTAGTAAATTTTTTTATCCATCCTCAAATAATCTTCAACTAGTTGCTTAATCAAATAGTGATTGGACTTTTTGTCCCAAAACCAGATGCAACTTAACTAACTATTGCATCTTTATGGGCTCTTCACTTATTTACTAGAAGACCAAGAAGCAAAATATTATTTCTCGATTTTTGAACTCCTTTGGCTCTCTTATCTATTTTTTTATCTTCAAATGCATCTCCAGCTTCCCATTCCATTGCTGTGTGATAATAAAACTGCCATACATATAACAGCCAATCTCGTGTTCTATGAAAGAACAAAGCACATGGAGATCGACTGTCATATTACTTGCAAAAAATACAAAGATGGATTCATTATTCCACATTATGCTTTTAGTCAAATGCAACTTGCTGATATTCTCACTAAGTCTTTTAGTTCGCCTCAATTCCATGCCATCACTTCCAAGTTGGGTTTGTTTGATCCTCACCAAACTCCAATTTGGTGGGGGGGGTTGTTATTTGTAAATTCGGTTACAAATTTATGTTATGAATTTTTGTTTTGTATCATTTATTTATTCTTTGTTAGCACATAGCTCACTAGCTAGGAAGGTTGTTATTTATAGGGTGAGTTGGGTACATTCTAGAAGCTAACATATATTCATTTCATTGAGCTAGTTAGTTTTTTTTTTTTTTTTTTTTTGTATATAATCAATCTCTTAGCTGTATATAACATATAGATGATCAATAAGAATTTTCTCTATCTTTCTATTGATCAATACCTTCTTCAAGCTATTTTTTGCTTGTAAAATAATTCAATTATATTTGTGTCAACTTAATCTTATAAAATAATCGTAAGTTAACCGTTTATTTTATGTGATTAGTTATTATACATAATGAGTTAAATAATATAATTAGTTATTATCCCACCCACATTGTGTTGACAATGTGCAAAATATGAAATGATCATATTCCATTTTCTCATTAATGACGATTAATCCATATCCACTTTCCACCATCACAAGTTCAACAATATTGACGTACTCCTTGTTGAAAAATGTTTATTACTTGCCTTAAAAGCAAGGAAATTAATGAATTATAATCAAAATGTGAAAATTTTGTTTAATGGGGTATGTTAATTTCAACAGCGTAGCTAATTGGTGTAATTAATATAAAAAGATATGCAAATTTTCTAAAAACAACTCAAGAAGTTATATTATTCTTTTAGCAATAACTAGGAGTGTATTTGGTGCACCTTTTAGTATTTTAAAAATATTTTCTACTAAAATTTAAATTATTTTAGTAATAATCAAAGTTAAAAAAAAAATTTAATGTGTTTAAAATTAAAAGTTATAATAATTTTTAGAAAATAATTTTAATTTTTATTAAAAATTTATATTTAAAATATTAAAATTACATTCACTTAAAATGCATAATTACACAAATATCTCATAAATATTTTCACCAAATATACAATTTTAATTTTTCTAAAATAACAACATTTTTTATGAATATTTCTACTAAACACCAAATGCTGAGGAAGTAAATAATTAAGAAGTTAATAGGCTAATTATGGACACTCAATAGTCAATAATAAGCAAATTACAATAAGTTTAATTCTTGCTGGTGTTGGAAAAACATTAATTTTAAAATTATCTTTCACAAATTTTGGAGTAATTAATATAAAAATACATCATCTGTACCTTCATCCAAATTCAAAATTTAACAATAATACCTACATCTTTTTGAATGCTTGTTTTAGAATGTATCAAATTAAGTGATAGCATTAACCTTCTTGTATTAAGTGAAATTATGTAATTAATTTAATCATTAATTTCGAAGACACAATTAGTTAAGTCACATGTGGACGAAAATTTTGAATATTAATTTTGATTAATGAATTCAAGATATTTCAAAAATAAAATTTCTAAAGAAAGAAAAAATTAAAAATGCAGATAATCATTGTTAAAAACAACTGACAAAATATCATTTTTTTAATGTAATTTATTATAGTAGGCACATCATTAATTTTAAATTATTTATTAAAAAATTATCTTATATTTAGAAAAAAAAAAAATCAGTTTAATATGACTTTTTTCACAGTTAGTGGTTCATTTGAACATTATATTGGTTTGGATATTTTAAAAGAAAAAAAATATATATATATATATATAAATGGGAATAGCACTTAGGTGATCACATCAGTATTACGCAACGATGACATCACCGAGCAGATGGATCCAGCGCAAAACACCAAGTGAAAGTACACGTTTCAGCATTTAAGAGGTATGGGCTGACCAAATTGACGTGTGATGATGATGGCGTGTTGTCTGGATATCGAAGTGGGACCCACGTGTGTGGGACCATTTGTACCTGCTCCGCATTTGTACGGAATTTTTTCCAATCTGATATCTCCATCGATCTATCCCCCCTGCCCGACATTTGTTCATGCTTTGTGATCGCGACTTGTTTGAGTTTGCTAGAGAAAAGATACAGTGAAGCTCTTCCCCATACTAACAAATTAAATTATCCTGACCTACAACGTAGGCAAGGCCCAATCTATTTGACCCACTTTGTTGGGGTTCGGTTGGTATTAAGTGTAGCTATGGGCCACGTGTAATTGGGCTCTTATGGACACGTGCATGGATTTTATTTTGTATATAATTTAGTTGGTAATAATTTCTAAATTTTAACATACAGCCATAAAAATAATTGTTTAGCTTTTTTTTTTACGAAATAATCTTTTGTCAGTAGAATAATTTTACCAATTAAAAAATGAGCTTAAAAGAGAACTAGAATTATTAATGACATTTTATAAGTTAATTTAATACATTATAAATTTATTACTTTTTTTTAAATAAAAATCCCATAAACAATCTATTAATATAAAAAATACCTGAAGATAAAATCTCCCATAAGTTTAGTAACAAACCCTTCTACGAATGTCACTTTAATCTCAATCCTACACGTTTCACGTGTCCTTCACCATCAGCGGTTAGATCTACAAGTTACGCTGGCCATAGGCAATTATTACCAACCGCTTATACTATTCTCATCACAGAGGATATCTCCACCTTAGTCAACTCACAACTTTCTAGTCCCTGTAAGAAAACCCAGCAAATGGCACAGGGGACGATAGACGGAGGAGCTTGCTTGGTTGTGGACTCTGCGACTCCGAGGATTGAACGATGAAATCGAAGACTCTAACTCTGGTTCTGGTGAATCTGGCCGGAATAATGGAGAGAGCCGACGAGTCGTTGTTGCCTGGAGTGTACAAGGAGGTCGGCGCTGCTCTGCACACGGAACCAACGGGGTTGGGTTCACTGACTCTGTTCCGATCTATTGTTCAGACTGCTTGTTACCCGCTGGCTGCGTACTTGGCTGTGCGCCACAACCGAGCCCATGTGATTGCTACCGGTGCGTTTCTCTGGGCCGCCGCCACCTTGCTTGTTGCAGTCTCGACGACCTTCTTTCAGGTCATTTTCTCTATTATTCTCTGATTAAACAAAAGTTAATGAAGAAGGATTTGTATAAGTTTTTGTTTTGAAGTTGATTTTGGATGTTACGGATTCAAATGTGAGATTGTGTTTATTCTTTTTTTTTCCTTTTCCTCTCTTTAGTAGCCTTTATGGGGTAAGATGACTCGTTGCATAATTGTCATGAAAGAATAATTTTTGTCTGAGGATACGTTTGGAAAAAATGATTTTTGAAATTCATTTTGACATATATATATTTGATTTATTGCAATTTCAAAATCATGACGTAAAATTACAAAAATGGAAATTTTAGAGACATATAATTATTTTTACTTTTAAATTATGCATTTACATATAAAAATACACTATGTATACATACAGTGAATGAAAATAATTTTTTTAAAAATTGAAAGCATTTCGTTTTAGTTTTTTTTTTTTTAAAAACTCGTAGTATGTTTTCATATATTTTTTAAATACTGTTGTCATTTTCTAAATATATCCTTTTATGTATAAACATGTATAAATTTATATTGAGTTTGAATCATTTACATTCTATGAATATAAATAAAAATTTAAATGAAAGTAATATTTTGTCTGATTCAATTTAAATGTTTTTGTGGTTCCTCTCTTGTTATGTGAAAATACAAAATTAATAGTTGTAGACTGGAAAATTGAATGAACTTGATTCAGTTACATATTAAACACGAATATGACTAATTTACATCTCAAATAATGAGATCTAAAAATTAAATAAGAACATAACATGTTTAAACAATATACAATAAATGAAAAGTATAAACTATTTTCATATAACGAACAGAGTAAAGACATTTATTTATTCATTTAGAGAAAAGGGTAAGCACTTGTTGGATAGAAAATTTATGGAGCTAAATTTACTGTTCTATTGAGATTTTCTCTGAAAAAGTTTAAGAAATATGCTCATTGAAGGTGCAACAAGCTGAATCCAATCAAGACTAGAAACTATGGTGACTTCCCTTTCTTGAATGGACATTGCAGAAGATGAGAACTTGTATTTTCAACATATTAATCAGTGCATAATTTACTCGCTTGCGTCCTTTTGTTTATTAGGTTGCAGTTTCAAGAGGCTTAAATGGGATTGGACTTGCCATGGTCATACCAGCCATTCAATCCCTTGTTGCAGATTCAACTGATGATAACAATCGAGGAATTGCATTTGGATGGCTAGGCCTGACAGGAAACCTCGGTGCTATCCTTGGAGGGCTATGTTCAGTACTCATAGCTTCAACCTCAATCATGGGAATTCCTGGCTGGAGAATCGCTTTCCACCTTGTTGGACTAATAAGCGTGATAGTTGGCATCTTGGTGCGCCTCTTCGCTCGAGATCCTCGCTTTGTTGGCACTGAGAACAAATGGAAAAACCAAATCCAACATGGACCCTTTTTGTCTGACCTGAAAGAGTTATTTACAGAAGCAAAAGCTGTAATGAGAGTTCCATCTTTCCAGATACTTGTGGCTCAAGGTGTCTCTGGATCATTTCCTTGGTCAGCTTTGTCATTTGCTCCAATGTGGTTGGAACTTATAGGCTTTTCTCATCAGAAGACAGCATTCTTGATGACTCTTTTCGTGCTTGCCGGTTCATTTGGAGCTCTTTTTGGAGGAAAGATGGGCGATGTTCTAGGCAAACGATTTCCAAATTCTGGAAGAATAGTTCTTTCTCAAATAAGTTCAGGTTCAGCAATCCCTATAGCAGCTGTTTTGCTGTTGGGCTTGCCTGATGATCCGTCTACTGCGCTCATGCATGGTCTTGTATTGTTCATCATGGGTTTGTGCATTTCCTGGAACGGTGCAGCTACAAATAAGTATGCATCTCGATCTCTTCCATATTTTTCATAAATCCTTAGGCCTAGCATGGTCGTAACTCATTTTTCTTGGTGCTGAATGCATGGGGAAGAGATATAGAATGAAAATTTGCTTTAGCATTCACCAAAAATTCAATAGTTTGACCAATGAACCACTCAACTATTGTATACTGACTTGATGCAGTAAGAGTTTGCTGTGTGGACCTATATGGTTATAATTTTACATAACTTCACTTGATTGCTGCCCATATAGTATATATTAAATGGTTAAACAGTCCAATTTTTGCAGAGATTGTTCCTGAGAAATCTCGAACCAGCATCTATGCTTTGGATAGGTCTTTTGAGTCCATACTCGCCTCATTTGCTCCACCAGTAGTCGGGATTCTGGCTCAGCATGTCTATGGCTATAAACCAATTCCCCAAGGATCATCAGGCTCTGTGGAGGTTGAAACTGATAGAGAGAATGCTGCATCACTTGCCAAGGCACTCTACATTGCAATTGGCATTCCCATGACAATCTGCTGCTTCATCTACTCCTTCCTTTACTGCACATACCCGAGAGATCGGGAACGAGCAAGAATGCATGAGCTAATTGAATCGGAAATGCTGCATTTAGAGTCCCAGAACTCTCCTTCAATGGAAGAATTAGAAAATGACACAGAAAGAAGTGAATTCAACATAGAGAAAGGAGAGGAGGAAGGGGGTGATTTAGAATGGAGTGACAAGAAGTCTCTGCTTTCTCATCAACTAACATCTTCGAATCTGGGGAACTGATAACCTTTCTGGAAGAAGAAGCTGGATTATCATAATTTTGCATTCATTTCAAGCCGTTGCTGAGAGAATTACTTGAAGATACTCACATGGCTTTTTTGATTGTAGCCTATGGACTGTCAAGTATGGGGAATCTAGGCTGTGTTTGGTCGATTCTCATCCGATTCCTTCTCAACTTCTAGTTGCAATTTTCAAATAGTTTTGATATACATAATTAGGACATGATTTCACCATCACCATTTTCAGCTCTTCCATTGTAGAAATTGAAGTTGAGCTTTTAATAACTTGAAAATAGTCATTTATGTTCTGATTGTAAATATCAAAGTAAAATTGAAGGTAAGAATTGAACAAAATTCAACCTCGTCAGATTCCCAGTTCTTGCTTTTTGATTGATTCCTTACGTTCTATTATCAATTATCCTTCCATGCAACCCGGGAAGACAGGAATCATACATTTTTCATTTAACAAACATTTAAACTGAATTCTGCAGAATACAGTCGCTGTTCATGCCAACATGAATTTCTAGTTGTTCATACGCCATGGTTGTTTCTGTGGAAGGAGCAAGTGAGCGTGTTCCACTATTTGATTTTATGAAAAGAATTTATTTTGGGTCACTTAATCTTTTAAGATATATATATTGAGATTTGAATGTACTAGAATATGTAATAGAAAAAATGGTAATTTTTTTTTTTTGCTTTTAATTTTTTTATTTAATTCATCATATTGCAAGAAAATAAATTTGTTAAAATATAAATATAAGAAACAATTAATTTCTTAAGGCAGCTAAAAAAATATATACAAACTATATATTATCCCGTAGAGGTTAAATTTTTTTCTGAATAATTTAAATAATAAAAAAAAAGAACCCATTCACATATTATGAGTATGTGCCACCTTACACTGATATGAATAGAGCAGATCAAAAGTTGCAAAAGACTGACATGTCTTTGGAGTGAAATATGACTCTTCCATGTATGCATTTATGCATTTGGGCGGAAGATAATAAATATGTATACATATATATATATATATATATATATATATACATTTTTAGCAAATATATTTTATTTTACTTTTTTAAAAAGGATAATTCACTTGACATGAATTCTTATAGTTTATATTTATTAAAGTTCACATAAAAATATATTTTTAATTCAAAAATATTTTTAATGGATTTATGAGTAAAGAATACATATCATCATAATGTTCCCTAAAGGACAAATAATATATATATATATATTCATGACTAATAATATTAATGTTTAGCCAACAAATTTTAGTTTAAGGGGGAATTTATGCTTTTTTTTTATATTTAATTTTAATTTTAATTTTATATTATAAATATATTACCCTGTACTAAATATGTATATTAATATTTGCATGAAGTGGCAAGGTATCTTCTTCGTTTTTGGGTAATAAATGGTGGCAGTCCATTTGAGTTCTGATCAAGAATTAATGCAAGTAATATGGAAACTGTAGCACTCTAATGGTTTTCTCCTGCATATAATAATAATAACTGATTTTTTGGGTAATTAATTCTTGTGTTCCAAAATCTGAATTTGAATTCTGACCCCTAATTAATCAAAATTCATTGAGATCTTAATCCGAGTAGAAAAAATGGAACGGGATCAACTGTTTATTAAATTAAACAATCAAATTTTGGCTCTTAAAAATCTTTATTATTAAATATTTATACGATATGATATAAATATTATTTATTTAAATAGTTAATACATGTTTTTTTAAAAGGGATCGCAATTCGTCAAATTATACTCGCGTATATAGAAAAACATATATATGATCATAATTCATGAAGTACAAATTTTTTCTCGTTAAAAATATTATTGTATTATTACTCTAATAATGAATATTGTAATACTTCCATCATGCATTAAAAGAAAAACAATCGGCAAGCTATTCTTAACATGGTATATTGTTTTGTTAAACTAAAATTAAAAATTATTTTGTTGACTTTTTTATAAAGAGTGTAACAAATTCTTTTTGTATTAAATCACTTTAGGATGGTAGACTATTTTTTTTGGTAGAAAGGAAAACAAAACACAAATAAGAATTAGTGGTTAATTAAGTGGCTCCAACCATAATATCACTAGTCTATACAAGGTAAATATGGATATCCTCAAGTGGTGGGCTAATTCGATGCAACTCATAAATCTTTTCTGAGCACATTGAGCAAGACAGTTCGTGTATATATTTTCTTTCAATTAGATATATGAAACTTGAATTTTCTAATTGTTTTTAGACAGCAATATGATCTTGTGCACCAACTTCGTGCTAGAAGTGTCATATTGCTCTTGAGGCTACAAAAGTTGCTTGAGATGGAAAAAATCGATTTTCACAACAAGCTTCTTGATACCTTTGTTCCGAACAGCATGAGACATTCCAAAACACTCCAATCTCCATGGTCTTCAACTACCAATGTTATATATAAAATCCTTACCTAAATTTTCATAGATATATTTGATTAGCACTTCTGCTAAATTTGAACCTAGATCCCCTAAAAAGAAACTATCTCTATTGAGCTTGAACACACTCAGAAAGAGGAACCTTTTAGTCCACATAAAGTAGGATAGTAGGAGAATCATGACGAAGGAACATGTAGGTGGTAAAGCACCTTGACTAAAATTCAAGAGTAGGTTTGTAACGCCCCGTTTTTTTTTTCTTAATGGCGTAAGTTAAGACAATTCTACGACCACATATGAACGCGTCATTCCAAATCCACCACAAATATAGAAACCTTACCGCAATCTATTATTCAAAGTCACAATAAACCTGCAACCCTACATATAATATCACAGTGAAGAATAATCTCACAGACTTCCAGCAGATACACTATCTACCCTACTACTAGTTATTACACACTCAGTCATGCCAAATAACGAAAACATTATTGCTCTGTTCCTCTATCAGCTAGGCTTAGAAATCAGCAACTCCGATCCCGACTCCATCCTTACTTCATCTGTAAATAATAAGGAGTGAGTACATACAACTCAGTACAGTAAAAATTAAGTTACAAGCATCATATACAACAATAGAGAACTCAAAGGTCCTATATGTACTCCACCTACTCAACTTAATACCTACCCTCGGTAATTTAAAAATTATGCATGTTAATTGTGACCGCCCCTCGACATCCCCTAACCGTACATATACTCTCTCCCGTCACCTGTATCAACAATCACCAATAAACCGCCTATCTCCCAACCCCTAATAGGCCACACACACACACAGATACTATTCTCACCCGTCACCAATATCGGCGCTCACCAATAAATCGCTTATCTCTCGACCCCTAATAGGCCACACACACACACACATATTCCATTTTCACCCATCACCAGTATCGGCGACCACCAATAAAACACCTATCCCTCGACCCCTAATAGGCCACGCACACACCCAAATACCATTCTTTCCCGTCACCAATATCGGCGACCACCAATAAATCGTCTATCCCTCGACCCATAATAGGCCAAGTACACACCCAAATACCATTCTTTCCTGTCACTAATATCAGCGACTAAACCCCTTCCCGTCGGAGTCTCCCGACCATCACCACCATCGGCGATCAACTTACTTTTTCTAGGTAACGACCACCAATATCGGCGTCCCCCAATGTTACCAACTCAAGGACCCTACGATCCCATACTCGCTCCACCATGTTATCCTGAGGCTCTCCTATTCCTTTACCCGGTATACCAGCCCAATACACATCTCCTCATAGAACACACACTAACATTTCACACACACACCGATAATGTTCCCTCACCAACCATTACATTTACAGCAACTATACCAACCTATATACAACCCACACCCTCACACCACACAACTGCTAACACACCCTTATCCCAGTACCTTAAACCACGCCTTATTGGCCTCTCTTTTCCTTTCCCAAATTTTCAGCATATACACTCTCCTCTCCTTCTATATCTACCTCTCCCTACGGTCATACCATACTTCTCCTCTTACCCGAATCTCTTCCCACACACTGAACTCATCTTTCTCCCTCCTTCCACAGTCCACTCTAAGGACCCCTTTACAATCATGAACTCTCCTCTCTCTCACATAACTCACACACCTCTTTCATTCTTCTTCTACCTCCCACGGCCTATTCAAAATATCACAACTCACACACTCACAATCACAACTCTCATCTCTATCACAGAACACTCACCAACTTCCTTCTTCCTTTTCTCTCCTCCCGCAGCCTCCTCCATACACCCTGCTCGCACACACACAACGTCACCTTGCCCTCACGGATCTCACTACTCACCGACCTCCTCGTTCACTCTCTTCTCCCGCGGCCTTCACTGTGTACTCACACTCATGTTACACAAAATAACCACACTCTATCTCCAATCACACACTCACAATCACAATTCTCATCTCTCTCACAGAACACTCACAAACTTCCTTTTTCCTTCTCTCTTCTCCCGCGGTCTCCTCCATGCACCCCACTCGCACACACACAACGTCACCTCGCCCTCATGAATCTCACCCACTCACCGACCTCCTCGTTCACTCTCTCCTCCCGTGGCCTTCACTATGTACTCACACTCATGTTACACAAAATAACCACACTCTCTCACGGATCTCTCCCACTCTCTAACATCTTCATTCTCTCTCTTCTCGCGGCCTCCTCCGTGAGCACCTCCACAATTCCACCTGCCATCCACAACCACTTGTCTCTACCTCGTAGTCTATTGCTCTACATACTAAACGGAACCTAGATTTCTCAACTTAAGATCACAGATTCGAAATCACTCCACACCTATACAAGAACTCAAAATTTTACCGTACCTCCTGTCTCCATTTTCCTCCTTCCCTTGGCTTGCTCTGTCACCGTCCTCTGTCTCCTCCTCTCTCTCTTCTCTCTCCTCTCCGCTCCGGCTCATCTCTCTCTCTCTCGAACCTTCTCTTTTCCCCGATCTCTCTTCTCTCTTTTTTTTCCTTTCCTCCCTTTTTTTCTTTCCTCTTTTCTCTTTTCTTTTCTTTCCTCTTTTTTTTTTCTTTTCCTCTTTTCTCTTTTCTTTTCTTTCCTCTCTTCCTGCCCGTCCATCTCAAAACGACATCGTTTTTTTTTTTTCAAACTAGTGACATTCAAATCAAGTGCTAAAAGTTTAATCATTACATCACTATGCTAGCTGAGTAACTTCATTAAATAATTTAAAAGTTGGGTATAAAATAATTACATATTACAAATAAAAAAATATTTAAAAAATAAAAATATTGATCATAAACCTTCTTAATCGTCCATTGACCTGTCTAAATTAACACAATATAGTAAATTATAAAAAGTGTTAAATATT